AAGAAAGGGATGCTGATCCCACCTGAGCAAGTCCTTTCTGTCCCCGTCTGCCTCAGAGCTAGAGTGCAGTTCTCTCCTTCTTTTTCTGGATTATGCCACAGGGACATCTTTATATTCCATCAGTAACTTACACAGCACTTTTGAAGGGACAGGAATAAATCAGCAAAAACTGAGAACTGGCTTTGTTCTCAAAGATAGATACAGGCTGATACACCTTGAGCATTATACCCATGGGCAGATCAAAAGGGTGGGATAGAAGGCCTTCAACGGGCAGTAAACTCTTGTGGAAGAGCAGGGCAGAGAAGGGAGGAGAGAGGTACCTTTCATGGCGCAGAAACACATTATTGAGGTTGTCGTTGATGAGGAGCAGTTCCTCGGTGAGTTGCTCATGGAGGACACGGGGAATCAGCTCCAGAACACGCTGCTGCATGGCTCTGCATGTCCGATTCAGCTCCTGCTCACAGCAAGGTGAAGTTACCACAAAGGTCAGGCTACAGCTGAGCACTTACAGATTTGGAAGTGCGACTGGGACAGACAGACCCCAGAGGCTACTGGGGTCTATCAGCAAGGGTTGATGGGCAACAGATATGGGTGTGAGAGGTAAATCGAGTCTGAGCTTTACAGACAATAATTGTATGCCTCTTGTGTAATGCATCACCCAGAAAGAAAAGCCCCCATGTGAGATGATTCCAGCCTCGACAGTGCAACCTCCCTTGGCTGTTGAAACTTCACCTTCCCTGTGTCTCCCTTATCCCATCACTCCTTTATAAGCCCCACACTAAACAGTCCAATTGTTCCCTACACCTGGCATGTGTTATGCCCCAGTCACTGACAAATCAAGTTGCGTGTTGCCAGCCCTCCGCCCCACCAGTGTTCCTTACATGCAGCAGCTCCAGGTCAGAAGACTCAGCTTGGGACGGCACCAGCTCTGTCAACATCTCCGACATAACCTTCATATTCCCATTTACCACTTCCAGCTCACTGCGCAGCTTCCCGATCTGCAAAAGGGAGGGAAAGTGAGAGCTCCACCTGGGAGGACTCGGGAGGTAGCTGAAGTAGCTCTGAATGGCATGTGTGTGCTTGTTCACAAAGCCAAAGGGAACAGCCACTAGGGAGCTCATTTGTCACCACTCAGTTCAGTCCTAAGGAGCTCCCGGCAGAAGGAAGCTCCGTTACTTACCATCAAGTTCATTTGCTGCTAACAGATGCCAGGCCCTCACCTGGGATCTTTAGCCACTAGCCTACCCTTTATTTTTAATAGCCAGCACAGGCTGCTGTTATGATTCAAATCCAGCTAGCAGCTCCTGTGTGGCAGCCACTCAAATAATTTCATTTCCAAAGCAGCGTAAGAGAGGGGGGAAAAAATGAATTCCTATTCAAAAGGCGAGCCTTGGCTAAGTGTGCAGTTGAAGCTTTATCCCTCTGGTTTCACAAGCTGCTAATGAGCCTCTTGAGAACAGTTTCTACCCTCTGTTGTGCAAGGGGATGCAACCTACTGACAGCTGGAGGTTTGGTGCTGAACGTGGTGTCATATGAAGTCAGGGTGAGGAAGCAGAAAAGAGGATGGGGAAACAAGTGAGAAAGCCCTGGCCTGTGGAAACCACATAGCCAGGCAGCACCGACGCATATAAAGTCAGCAGTGAAGCAAGATAAAAAGAGATGATAAGGCACCTACTGAGAAAGCTTTTGCTGTACTGCACTACAAAGACCTCACTCAAAACCACTGTGTTTTAGTTCTCACTTCCCTACAGCCAGGAGATCTTTCCGCTACCTGCAAGCAGCCCTGTCTTAGGAAAATATAACCACTCCGTGTTTGTGGTATCCCAGCTCATCACTGTGACCACAGTGGAGCTCTGGGGAGCTCTCGAGGGACTATGCTTTAGAGGAACGGCTCCTTGAGGACAGAGGCTGAGGAGGACCAGGACAGCAGTCCCAGAAGAGTATTTGTGAAACAGCCCCCAAATGCAGGGAGAGTCAGCAGCACCATGGGGCTTGTGTCCAACTCACCTGCTCTGGTGTGGGTGTGATAGGCGCGTCACTGGATGTGCCTCTCCTGGTGGGCAGGGTGACAGGGTGGAGGATGGACTCTATCTGCTGAGGGGAGTTAACCGCAGGTGAGTTCTGTCCGGACTGGGAGTCGGAGCTATACACAGTCTACCGAGAGAGAGATGGGAAAAGTGACAGAGAGAAGGAGATGTTAGACACTCACAGCTGACAGGGCAGTGCAATTAGGAGAGAAATGTTGATGGCAATTCCCCGTCTGCTTTCAGCTATTCCAGCAAAGAGTCTGTCCTGGAGCTTCTCACTCCCCAGAAGCCCTCTAAATGCAGGCTAGAGTTCCTGAAGTCTCCTCATAGCTCCAGAATGGCAGCTGCCCAACACCCTTCTCTTCAGCAATGCTCCCATACCCTCTGTGGTGTGTGGATGGGTGACAGCATGTCCAGATCAGTCATGGGGAACTCCAGACCCTTCCGTCTCAGGTCTTCGTAGACAGCGACAACACCAGTCAAGTCCGGTGAGCTGCGGAAGGCATCCGCCCAGGACTGGGGAGAAGGAGACAGTACAGCCCATCATCATTTACAGTAGTCTTCTCTACAAACACCTAAAGACAAACACTCTCTAAACTGGCGCAGATGCTCACGCTTCTTGGCTCACCTGGATGAGGGTCAGCACCTTGTCATGCACTATGGCAGGTGGATTGTTCTTCGGCAGGATTGTTCTCACGAGGACACCTTCTACGAAGTCCTGGCTGGACACAAGGACATGGAAGCGATGGCCGCAGTTTTTGACGCATGTCTCCAGGACCTTCAAAGGCAACGAAGCATTAGCTGTAGCCTTTTTGGTCTATGTGTGTTCACTTTGTTGGCTTTAGGTACCCACGTCTTTTCAGCCAGCGACTCAGCTTTACAGCAGGGTATCACAGAGCTGAGAAAGAGCCCTGACCACTCACCGTCAAAGCCAGCATAACTTCATGGAAGTTCTTATTCCCTACAATTCTCTTCTTAATGGCTCGGAAGGCATCTTTGGGCCTGCAAAAGAAATCCGATGAAGAAAGATCATCAGAAGGTTGAGACCCATCTACAGAGAGGCAAAGCAAAAGAGCCACTGGCTCTGGATGCCTCATATTCAGCAGGTGACCTTCTCCACCATGTTTTCAGGGTGGCTTGAAGCAATGACTGGTAAAGAAGCTTCTGCCTGTGGTTCTGCAAGAGGAGCAGGGTCCTGCTCATGAGTTCTGTTACTGCAAGTGGAGGCCTCTGTGCTGATGTCTGCAACAATTCAAGGTGTACAGGACACAACAGAGAGTAGAGTAAAAGCAATGCTGGAAATGCAGTGCTTGGTGGTAGAGCAAAATGCCATGGCAGAGAGACTGAAAAGAGGAGGAGATCACAAAAAAGGTTGGCACAGGTTAGAAACAGGAAGGCGAGAGCGAGCTGCAGCAATCCCTGTGTTGCTCAGAGAGAAGCTGTTTAACAACATTTTCCTGGAGGAAAGGAGGCTAGAAAGCAGCAGGGGAAGTGCAGTCGCAAAATCTTGCCTATATTGCAGGTGGACAAGAGAGCAGCAGCATAGCAAAATCTCCTTAACCATTCTTACAGGGGAGAAGCACTGCACTCTCGGCCCACTGTGCTCTTGTTGAGAGGGCACAAATGAACCAACATGCTCTGGCAGAGCACAGGAAGAGTCTGGGCAGGAAGAGCAGCAGTGCTGGAGAAGAAGAGCGGGGTGGAGACACTGAGGTAATGAGGAGGGCAGGAGCATACCAGCCTGTGGGGCAGCATGGCTGCAATGGATGAGCATTAGCAGGGCAATGGGAGAGCCCACCATGCCAGGAGGATACAGCTGTGTTATCAGATGCCCAGAACTGAAACACCAAACGGCCACAGCTTGGGACTGAGAACTGTGGGCACAGACAGGCGTATTTGCACTGTGAGGAGAGCATGGAAAAGAAGTAGTGACAGATCTGTGAGATGAGATGTTTGACTTTGTTTTCATGCAACTGTGAAGCTGAAAACTGGGCTTGCTAATCCTCTGTCAGCATCACTGTGGGATAGGACAGCAGGAGAGAAACCTACATTTTTTATTCCGTGTAGCACCTTCTTTTTTACATGCTGCTCTTGACATCTCCACTGTGAGAAAGAGCAGTCCCCCTTGAATTCACTGGCAAATCCCCAGGTCCAGAGTTAACAAGTCTGGCAGATTTCTGAACATCTCCCTGCAGGGAGAGGGAGACAAGGGCTCCCCCACCCACTTTGCGCATGTCTGAGCGACCGTACATGAAAATACCTGAGAAGTGAACCCCAGCAGGACTCACACAGTCAGAGGACTGAATAGCAGCCTGAGATTTTCTTCTCTCCTCAGTCACCAGCCTGCAGATTTTTACATTCCCAGAGGAGAGAAAGAGAAGGGTATGAAGGAGGAATAAACCAGAGTGGAAGAATTGCAAATATGCCTTTGGGAGATGGGAGGCAGCCTGGCTCGAATCGAGGTTTCTCTGGGGACCCTGAAGGCCTATTTGAATGGCTCCCAGTGCTCACGAATATTACAGGGAAGCATCTAACAGATGCTGTGACAGCTTTGCTGTGTCTCTAGGTCTCCTAGCAGAGTCTCGTCTAAGGGACTGTTGGAAGCCTAGCTTATTACCTCCACCAGTGCATGCTACCACTGCAGTCTAGGGATGTAGTGTAACAGGGTGTGTTGGGACCTGCTGCTGGATGTGTACCAGCTCCCTTGCCAGCTCCCTTACCCTTCTTCAGTCTCGTTAATGATGTCGCAGATCTCCATGTTGAGAGCCCAGTCCTCGCTCCGCAGGGACCCATCAGTAGCTCTCTCTGGAAAAAACAGAAACCAAGACACAGCAAGGCTAAGAGCAGCCCTGGCACTCTCACGGGCTGCTGTTCAGCTGTCAGGACACCCCAGAGCCCCGTCACCTTCTCCCCGGCTTTCACCACAACACACAAGGAGGTGAATCTGGCTGCAAAGTCCAGGCCACCAGATGCTCCCCGCTAGGTGTCACCACCGCAAAGCACATGGCTGGCTGGCACTGGGACGGGTGGTTGCTCAACTTTGCCCACTCCACGAATGCTACCAACACACAAACACTCCCTGTGTGATCTCTGGTGTCCTGCACACGAAGGGAGGGGGCTCAGCGTGACTTCAGCTGGAGAAAAGGGGGCGCATTTGCTTTGCTGCTGCAGGGCCAGAAACCGTGAGTTTGGTCTGCTCACACTGACACAGACCTAATGTCAATGGTACCACTCTTGGTCTGCACCAAATTAAAGAGACAAAAGAATCAAACGCCTTCTTTGTACATGGGCCTTACAAAAAAAACCAAGCGAACATAAACAGCCAAAGCAGGGCTCTCCCTTGTTTAACATTTACATCTCTCCCCTGAACTTCTGGCCTCTGGGGAGCATGGACAGAAGTGGACTGCAGGCTGAAGTTGAAGCAATATTGTTTCAGCTTTGATTGTGTCCCCTTTAATTAGGAATTCCTCAGTCAGCCTTGATGTTATTCAAGGCAGAGGTTTGGGAAATGAGCAGCTATTACTGAGAGCACCAGTGCCTCCACCCTATAATCAGCCATGTCTCGGTCCCAGCCGCACCAGCTGACTGATGCCTTCAGGGACACCACCAGTGGGGTTCCCTGGGGGAAAGAGCACTCTCCCAGCACCCTCCAGACCACTGGGAAACACAGAGACACAGCACATGGCAAGCAGAGGACAAAACCCATCCTTTCCAGCTCTCCCATCCTATAACATGCCTGACTTAGCACTGGGGCAAGAGAATTAAAACTAGCCAGACCGGTTTAGCACCTACCAGGTACTCTTTAGGAGAGCTCCAACCCAACAAGGTACTTAAAGAAGTGCCTGCATTTTCAAAACTGCTGTGGGTCCTCTACCCCTTTGGAGAGGCTCTGCCTTTGCAAAGCTGCCTTTTCCTGCTTTTGACCCAGCAGCTAATGATCCCTCCGTGGGAATGAAATGAAATGCCCATTCACGAAGCAATGGGATAGGGCCATAACACAGGAAAAAGAAGACTTTTTTAACTCCTGCCTGACTAAGCACATCCATCATGTTTTGGGATGTCCCGTTTTTAAGGCTCAGGCAGTGAGCTGTTCACAGCATTGTGCAATGCAGCCTCCTATGCACGTGTCCCTCCCACAGATTACACACCACAGCATGAAGCTGCCTATCCAAACCTTTTTGCAATCCAGCCACCACCTTCTCTGTTGACTGCAGAATGTATTGATTACACCGTGATTACGTTGATTACATTGTGGCCACAGCCAGATGGAAGAGGGCAATCAAGGGAAGGAGAGTGGCAGAACGTTCTTGATGCTCTTCCACCTTTCTGAAGGTCTGGCTACTACTGTAATATCCTGAAGGCACCTTGATTCAGGTGAACTTTTGTCACTTTGAGTATCAATTTTATATAGCAATCCTGGTCTCTTGCAGGATGAACACCTCCGCAGCGAGGCAGAGGAGGTGGCATTGTATTGGGTGATGTGGTGGAGAATATATCCAGGGCAGCGGGCTACAGGGGAGCATGTCTGGTGCACCAGAGCGTATACCAATGAATGGGTGAAGCTGTGGTAATACATAGGGGAAAACGTTTTCTGGCAGGGCACCTTTGGGATCAGGACTCGAAACAGTAGCAGACCTCCAGGTCCCCTCCTGCTCTGGGACACAACACGGCCAGCCTTGGTGGCAGGCAGATTGCAGCTCAGGTCGGTCTGATGGATTTAGCACACATGGTCACAAAGCCACCCTTCACTTGTGCTCTCCTCCGGCATCCCCTGCTCATGACACACCTTGGTTTGAACCCCAACCTAGCCAGGAGTGTCTCTGTACTGTTTGCTACCTCTGGCAATGAAGCACACAAATCAATCACACATGGGTTGCTCTATGGAAAGGAAGTCCACATCCACTTTTCTCACCCCTGAAGAAAAATACCACACACGGATGGAAAAAAACCACAACTCTGGAACAGGGATGAGCCTGCTGGGAAGCTCTGAGCTACAGAAGAAACCAAGGATGAAACAAAAACTGCCTTTAACCATCAGGTCCTTGCTGTTCAAGCCTCCCCAACCCTCCTCATCCTCATTTTCACTGTGCACAAACATGAACAGAGTCTGCAAACACCCTTCCCTTGCTTCCCTATGTTTGGTGGCACTCTGTAACCTGCTCCGCACCCCTTCCCTCTCCCTTTCCTCCAAACATGCCAGTCCTTCCAAGGTCGGGCAGCAGGTTTGCTTTTCAGACAGGAATGCAAACAAATCATGCATGCTCCTTCACCTGGCTGGCCACGTACGGGAAAATGGGGCTTCCTCAGAAGCGACACACTCCGCCCCACTGTTACCCCACAACGCTGTGGTCATCCTGCTACTGTCACCCCCGTTCACACACTGGTCGATGAAGTGCTGCAGGAAAGCAGCAAACCTGCCATAAAGGCAACAGGGGCTCAAAAAATACAGAGCTGGAAGGGCAGTTTTAGGGCATATGGAAAACAGGAACGTGACCATGAGGCATTTCCAAGGTCGCAGCGCTTGAATTTACCCAGCACAGATTAAGGTTTGGCCTAGCTGGCCTTGGGAGAGCTGGAGCTAATGCCCTTTTAATCCTCCTTGCTTCCAAGCACGAAGGGACTGTCCAAGCCTAGTAAGATATGTTGGCGTTTTCTCTGAAATCCTGAACTTTACCCTTTTACTAAAGCCTGCAGAAGGGAAGAAAACAACGTCTATTCATTAGTCACATGAAGGATCAGGGTGGCTGGCCCCGTTTCACGAGCCGTAATTAGCACGAGCTATCTGCCCCTCACGAAATCTGAGCCCGGGATGGCTGGGGACAGCGACAACTCCCTAAAAGCGGCGCGCGCAGGAGGCAGGGCACGGCTGCCTGCCCAGCGCTCTGCCTGGCAGGGCTCATCAGGCAGCATCTACTTCTGTGTGCTAATGAGCTGAGCCTGACCTGCCACGGAGAATTCCCCCCGGTGGAGGTTATCAGCGAGCGTATGAATGCCGCGGTCTCCCTCCAAGCCCGAAACCAACTGGCTGTTGAATGTACCGGAGGCCCTTCACGGGGCCGCTTCAAAGCCACATTGTTTTGGCAGCCACTCCGACTCCCCGGGTGTGACAGCATTGGGGTTTGTCTGATTCCAGTCTGCTGCCTCACAAATTGCCTGGATGGACCCAGAACCGCTGAGGACTGTGGTGCGGGTGGAACCAGAGCATCGACTCTTTTCCTGCCTGGCATTTGATGTGCTGACTGCAGCTAGGTTATAAAAGTTATCTGGAATCATCAGATAAGAAACAACTCTGAGCTCGGCATAACTGACACAGCAGAGCTGTACATTGCTTCGTGCCATGAGTAAATTTCACAGCTTTGCTTCTTTTCAAGTTTACTTTTTCTGCCCTGGTGGCAAGGGACAGCCCACTGTGGGGCTGGCGATCCCACCCAGCCATCCCTGCAGCTGCACACCAGCAGTGCAGTTAACAGCCTGGGGAAGTAGTACAGGAGCTGGGGACAGAAGATACTGTGGTGGCTCCTGTCCCCTTTGCTCCCCGTCACAGATCTGAAGCACCCATAACCAGCCAGGCGCCATTCAGAAACCCTTCACCCATGACAGGCTCTGCCATAGCTTGTCAGAGACTGTGCGCCCCTCCTCCAAGCCAGGCCCTTAACCAGCGTTCCCTAAAGTGCTCAGTCCCACTGGCTTTAAATTCCTCAGCAAAGCATCCAGCACCTTCTCACCCATTTCAACCGGTGTTTGAGGGCACCAACATTTCGTTGCACGAGACAGCGTGGGCTCAGCAGAAAGCAACACAACTGTCCCTTTTCCAAACCTCTCTTCAATTCATAACCCTCCTGGCCCAAATCAGCACCCTGTACAAGTCTCCTTGCTAAGCCTCATGCTTTCGCTTCCCTTGAGGAAACTTCAGCACCAGCTCAGGCAGGACTCCATGGTTCAACCTTGCTGTATTGCTTCTCCAAAGATGGAAGGGACAACTTGCTTTCTAGAGAGAACAAAGATATGGCTCCAAACCTAATTCAAGGACGGTGGCGAACACAGACTCATGCTGACATCATGCTGTGGGTATTTGGGTCTCTGAACTCCTCCTACTGCTCCTTTCCTGTGAATCAACTCAAACTCTTAGGGATCAAACAACTCTTCAACTGCTGCCTTTACCCCTTCTCCAGACAGAGAGGGCACAGAAGATAAGTCAGTGCCTTTTTGAGAAGCACTACCTTGCATGGAACCATCTGGCTCTGAGAGGAGAGCGTTACTGACAAGAGCTGGCAACTGCTTCCCACCAGCTCCCAAGGTCCCAACTCACAGAGGGGTGCAGGGACACCTGCAAGGTGGGATCCAAACAGCTGGGGGGATTTTTCTGGCATACTGTGTTGCACCTGCCCCTCTTACTCACCCATGTACAGAGGAAATCTGCTCTCTCTTACCTGCTCCCTCTTCAGGGGCTCAACTTTGCCCGGTTGTTATGCTTAACCCAACCCCCAACCATAAAAAATCCTCTCCATATCTGCTACACCGTTACTTCTCCCCCTTGCCTGCCCTCATTCACTGAAATAAACCACCTCTGTCCCTTTCAGTATTGCTATAATTATTAGTTATTCCAGACTTCTAGGGTCAGGAGAGAGTGTTGGGGGGTTTCTCTCCATTCTCTCACCTCCTTGAAATTAGATTTTCCATTTTGACATTTATCTTAGCTTCTAGATGGAGGCACAGTGGATTTCCCTTTTGAGGGAGGAATCCAAACTGCGATGCTTCAATGCTCTTTGGAAATTTTCCCACTGGTCAGAAGTACTGTGTTAAAAAAAACCAACAACAAACACCACACAACAAAAACAAATATCCAAAACCCCAAACAAACAAGTCTCTATTCATCTTGCTTGGGAAGAGATATCACAGTCCAAAAACAGGACAGAAGCAACTTTTGTGACTAAATCTCAGGACTAGGAGGAAGAAGCCAGAAAACCTACTCCTCTGCAACTGACTCATTCTGTGACAGGTCACTGAGATTATCTGAGCATCGGTTTCCTTGTCAGCAAAATAAATGGGACTTGCTAGATTAACATTAATGAAGGAATTTGAGAATGCCGCTGCAGTGTACCACAGAGGATTTTTTTTTAATTTTTTTATTCCATAGCCTTCATCTAAGGCTATTTTAGACTTCATAAGCTATATCAGGCATACATGACTTTGCCCAAGTAATTTACAAGGACGCAGACAGCCCAAAGCAACAGCGCTATGCAGGTTTGGTGATCACGCTCATGGGTTCAACATGCAGCTGCCATGGACCTACCAAACAAGTTTGGGTAAGTCATGTTCGCGTCTCAAATTAAACAGGGAAGATTGTATTTATCCATGTCCCCAGGATGTTGATAGGCAACGTTCAAAAGGAGAAAACATTCATATTTTCAGCCGCCAGTCCTTTCAAGTCCTCCACACTGAGTTCCTTTCTCATATGCTGCAATTCCTCTACCCTTTTGGACTCCCATAACCCCAATCATTGCCAGTCATTAAGATCTCTCTACTGTCACACCTCTGGTACTAAGGACTCTAAACTCCTGTTTGACAACACTTTTGAAATACTTTTTTCCTCTTTGTTGCTGTTGGTTTGTTGCTTAAAAATCCCTTCTTTAATCGAAGCAAAGCCCGGAGGGAACTCACTTACAATCCGGCTACTATACTGAGTAGAAGATCTGGCGGGCAAGAAGTGATCTGTGACATCTAAAGATAACTTCAGATTGCCTCGTCCCAAACACAAAAATGTATCCGATGATGCGCTCACTGAGGGAATCAAAGAGCATTCATTCTGGAAAGGGCAGGAGACGCCTTCTCCTGGAAAGCGTGATGAAACATGTGACATTCATCTGGGGAGACGTCAAAGATCATCTGGAGGTTTTTGTTACAGAAAACCTTCCCTGGTGATCCTTCCCCCACCTTGCTGTAGCGCGTCTCACCTATCTTGCCTGACACCAGAGAGCGGCACGTCGCCCTGCCCCCGACTCACATCATTCAGACACTGCTGTGGGCAGCCTCTAAAATAAGCGGCACTTACAAAAGCATTACCTAAAGCAGCTGCTTGCTCCCGTCTCACCTTGGCCACAGCCGCTAATTCACCCGAGCAAGCACACCGAAAACTACTGAATCGGGGGCCAGATGTTCACAGCGAAGAAGAAAGGTCTGCACAAGTGACAAAACGCAACACTGAGAAAGCGCATAAACTACATATGGCCGTTGCACAAGCTGGAGAGTTTAAGCACGCAACATCAACCTTCATGCACGACGTGAAGGCCCTCAGACAATACAACATGGGGTGAAAATAATCTTTATTCTAAGCCTTTTAAGAACTGCATCTTTGTTTTGAGAGCAGTGTAGCTGTTGACAGTCTTGTTCTTTCTAACCGCAGCATCTCTTTGCTCCCCTTTCTCAGACTACGTCCTTCTCCTGTGTTCATCTGGTTGACCTGAGCACAGGGACTAAGAGAGACTGTTTTGTCCACAGGCCTGCAAGGTCACAGAGTGGATGCCGCTCTCCTGCTGCTGCTTTCAGTGCCGGAGCTGGTGCTCAGTCCTGTGAGAAGGCCCGTGGCGCGGGGGAGGTGCCCTCCACAGAGCCAGAGGACAGCCCCGCTCATCCTAGACCTCTGTGCTGGGAAGTTCACCCAAGGGTGGGCAGCCACCCCTGAGGTGCCCAGGATGCTCGTCCTTCGAGGCGGGGAGCTCTGACCTGACTAGGTGAGCTGGGACACCCCAGGGCCAGGCAACCTGAAGCCCCCGTCCCCTGGCAGCCCCCAGCCGGGTGATGGCT